ATTTACCACATTAGCAATGTATAGAATGTATTTCTTTAAAGTTAAGACTAGTTTAAAGTTATCTTCATTGAAAAGTACAGTGCTTTTCCTTCAAAAATAAGAACTTTTCAATATGACCCCAAACTTTTGAACGGTAGTGTATATATATATATATATATATATATATATATATATATATACACACATAATTGTTTTTGTTTTTCTACAATTGTGGTGTAATTGGTGCTCTTAGTGGGTCGCTCTGCCAGCTAAAGACACGTTTAGCAGTCTCTATACTCCAGTTAATGATTAAGCCGTTATTAATTAGTTGACTATTATTTCAATAATTGATTAATGATTATTAATCCGATCAATTGTTTCAGCCCCATTCAGGACGTATCTCGGACGCTGTTCCAAATTTAGAATTAAAGGGCCTCCTCTCTGTCCCGCCATAGGAGCAACGATCGTTAGAGGTGTACGTTTGTTGCAGGTTGCTGTTTGAAGTTAAAGGACCAAACAAATGAACCGATGGATTTTTCTTGTGTGAATCTTTCCTTTGAGTCCTTTAAACACTCTTCCTGTTGCTGAGTCTTTCTGAGTCCATTTTGCATCAGAGATATGACCTCCACCTTTCAGAAAATGAATGAGATCTGTTCAGTGGTTCATGCAGGAAACCAACCAGTTTAAATAAACTCTCAATTTGTGATAGAGGTCAAACCTTCTGCCCAATATTAACAGTTGAGCCTGTATATCTAAATCTGGCCTCATGTGAATTGGAGAAACATCCCTCTAAATTGAGTTTCTGGAGCTTATAATATTGGCCTAAATGATGTAAAGAAGCAGCTAATGCAGTATAATAACAAACAGCAGCCTTAGAAGCTTAAGAGTATTTGACTGAATTTTCAGAGCAGAAAATGTTTTCACTGGAAAAACGTAACTCAGATTAAGTGTATTTAGCCTTAATTTGAGTAGGTAACTGAAATGATTTGTCAATGGAATGAGTATTTTTACTCTTAAAATAAGATATTAAGATAAAATGCACTTGAAATAAGACAATGCAACTGTGTTTTCTTATTTTAAATGTAAATTGTCTTGTTCCATTGGCAAAATATGTCTTTTAACTGCATAATTCAAGAACAAATGCACTTATTTTAAGAAAAAAAAGACTATTCTAGATTTGGATTTTTTCCAGTTTAGAACTACATTACTTATCATTATTTTCTGTTTTTCATTGTTGTTTTAAAATTAATTTATTTTTTTCAATCAATTAATACTGTATCTCCTGGTAGAAAATGCTTCATTTATATAAAAAGTTTTGTGTTTTTCTTACTTGAAAGCTGAAGATATAAATAAGCTGTTGGCTGTTTGAAATAGCAGCAGCTTTTCTATATCAGCTTTTCTATATCAGATATTTTACAGAAACATTATAAGCTGTGTTTTATTGAGGGGTTATAACACTTGCGGCTCTAAAGGACTTTTACTCAGCCAGATATGAGGCCAACAGACTCCTTAGATCCTTTGCAGATGCCTGCCTTAAATTAAAACTTTTTAAAAGTTATAGAAGTTTTTTGCTGCGTAAACACTTTCACCCTGAAAGAATAACTGGTAAAAAAAAATAAAAAAAATAAAAAAAGCATATATATATATATATTTAGAGAGAAAAGAAATTGTGGGATTCCTGCCAATAATGAGTGCGTGTAAGCTCCTTCCTGGACCTCTGCCTTCGAACCATCATAAATCCTCCATCTGTTTTATTCATTTCTTGCTCGTTTCCCGCAGCTGTCTGACGGTCTTCGTGTTTGGGATGTGTCGGCCGGACAGAGCCACTCCCTCCTCCTGGCCGACGGCGACTGTGTGCAGCCGGTTCTATTGTACTGCGGCCAGAAGAGCGGGAAACAGCAGAACCGAAGCTTCAGTCAGAGCTCGCCCACAGGGGGGGAGAGCTACGCCGTCAGACCCTCGCTGCTGCCCTTCTACATCGAGGTGTGTGGATCCAACACAGGCAGGGGGAGGCGATGGATGGAGCTTTTTTCACAGCTTAGTTCAGTATGATGCTTGAAGAAAAACTGAGAAAGCTAAAGACAAAATACAGACATTACTAGATAACATGAAGGCTTAAAAAGGCCATGTAGACTTCTGTTAAATCAAAGCTTTTTATCCAAAAAACATCTTCTGGTCTTTAAAACTCCCAGTGAAGTTTGTTCTAATACATGGAAGCAAAATTTTATTTCCTCCATTTCCTCTCATCTGGGTCCCTGAGTAAGATCCTTGACCCCAGACTGCTCCCCCGGCACCGCATAATGGCAGCCCAATGCTCCCTAATGGGATGGGTTAAATGCAAAGAGTGAATTTCGTTGCTTTGTACTTGTGACAGTGTAATGACAATAAAGTTGAATTCTAAATTCCTGTTATGTGACTTTGTGCAGATGAGTTACATCAGCAGCGTGTGCAGCGGCGGGCAGCTCTGCGCGGCGCTGACGGACCGCAACGTGATGGGTTTTATCGCAGCCATCCATGAGCTGGCCTCCAGCGAGAGACGGTTCTCCTGCTGGACGAGCGACGTCAGGAAGTTCCTCATCGCTCCGCTGCGTAAAAAAGGTGAAAGTAGCTCTGCTGCTAGCATCAGAGAACCAAGGCGTTGGAGTTGTGTGGATTAACATAGAATTTTCTCTTCCTACAGAGAGTGCGTGTCAGACGTTAGGTGAGCCGAGCGCTCGTCTGTTCTTTGCACTTTGTGACAGTTTTGTTCACCTGAGCAAACTGGTCGGACGTCACGCCACGTCCCTCAGCTACTTCCTGCAAAACGCCCAGAGCCGCGATGTAGCTTCCTTTCCCCTGCTGACCAACACGGAAACCTTCATGGAGACGTATAGAAAGTAAGCATTTATGTTTTCCATCAGCCTGGGGAGTTACTGTATGCTTTACAGTTTATTTTCATTGTTTACATAATATTCATGCATTGCCTGATCTCTGATTGATGAAAGAATCACAGTAGGATGGATCAATAAAGATAATGAGTCCATCCATACTTATTGGCATTAAGGGGAGTGGTAGACTAGTGGTTAGAGCATGGCGCTTTCTTCCCCGGGGGTTCTGAGTTCAACTCCCACAGACTGCCACTCTGGGTCCCTAAGCAAGACCTTAACCCCACACTGCTCCCCGAGCGCCGCGCAGTGGCAGCCCACTGCTCCCCAAGGGGATGGTTTAAAGGCACAAAGTCTATTTTTCCAATTGCAAGATTAATAAAGTTCTAATTACTAATTAATCAATTAATTCCCAGTTGAAAAATCAAAATTTGTCATTGCAGAAACTTTAAAAATAATGTTCCTATAGCATGTTGAACTTATTTTCCTATAGAAAATAAGTTAAACATGCTTTTTAATTAAAGGCTTAATTTTCTATGACAGAAATTAAATTTTTTTCAACCCTTTATTTATCTCCTTGTTTTATAATTGTAAAACTATTCCCCAAATTGGGAAAATACAAGAAAATACAAAATATAAATTAAGAAGATTTGTTTTGAACTATAGATTTGAAAGTCTAATACTATCCTCTTTTTTATAGCACGTTTCAATCAATTTAAACAATAAGCGCTTAGTTAAGATAACTGCTTTGAGACGTGACTGAAACTAAACCCCAAGTAGATTTAGTGTAAAACCAGAGATTAGAATATGAAAAAGGAACCGATGCCCATAAATGAGTGGTGGAGGACGTTAGAGGCAGGTTCTGGTAGATTTTACAAGAAAAACTGAAAATGTTTCCTCAGTTTGTTTTTCTTAAAGTTCATTAATTTGAATGTGTTTTTTTTTCTTTTTGGTGTTTATATTTAACATTTCAAGACAGATGGTTTCCTATTATAATCTTAAATGAGGAAAATTGTCCTTTGTAAATGAAACCATCCTTAGGGAACAGTGTTCTCCCACATAGGGGAGAAATCTGGGGGTCAAAGGTCAAACTCAGGGACTCTGCGTGATGGTCAGAGTTTGGAACCAGCAAGCACAAACCCCCTGCTGCCTAACGCATCTTAATCTGAAGTGGTGATAAGTGTGCCTGTCTGAAACTGTTGAAATTGTTTGTAAATATTTTTAAATACCTTTAATTTGTTTAAAACTGTTTAAAGTGTTTCTGACTTTGCTTTGTGACCAACATGAACTCTGCCCTCTGTGTTTTTTTCCAGGTATTGTTCTGCAGTCGGTGACTTCCAAGTTATGGGTGGATTCCAGTCACTGCATAAACTCTCACTGTAGGCTTTTTAAAAATCATTATTATTAGAAATACACTCCAGACCTGCCGTCTCTGCTTGCCTGTTAGAAAACACAATCTGCCCTTTAAAAGCAGGATTTATTTTCTTTTTTTTTTTTTACCAGAAATTGCTAAAACAATAGTTTTTTTTTTACTGTTTTTCTGTGGCTTTGTGTTCATGTTGCAGGGAGGCCCTGGCCAGTCAGCAGGCCGTGCTCGCCCAGCTGTGTGGATCAGATGAGTCTGTCAGTGGGAAGCTGGATCTGGTTTCAATGTTCTACCAGCCTCTGCAGCAGCTCCACCATTACAACAGGGTCCTGCTCAAAATGGCAGCATGCTACGACGTGGTGAGCACTGGACGTCATCCGTTATTGTTCTATAAAGTGAAGTAAAGTAAAGTAAATTTGTTTAAGGTGTATTTTTAGGATTTTGCCCTTTTTCTCTTTCCTCAGCTAACGATGGAGTATCAGTCCCTGCAGCAGGGCTGCAGTCACTTCGAGGCGCTCTCTCTGTCCCTCCTGAGGAAGAAGAAAGAGGCTGAAAATACGCAGCTTTTCTGGAAAACTCATTCAGGCAAAACCATTGTGAGAACAGCAGCTTATCAGTGACTGATTTTTCTTTTTTTTTTCTGGAGCGGTTATAAATATGTAGGGAAATCTTAAACTACAGAAGTGTTTCCTTTGAAGATTAATCATGTGTTAAAATGGTGCTAAAATATCTATATATCGAACTCTGCATCCTTTGGATCAGGTCTGCTTGTCCACGAAGGTTGGTAGAGTACTCAGAAATTGTACTTGTGTAAGAATAGGACTACTACTACTAAGTAAAAGTAAAAAGTAGCCTTTAGAGACATCAAGTAAAAGTAAAAATGTTCCCAAAGTAACAAGTAATGGATCTACTTTCTAGCCATGATCATAAAACCTGGTTTATTATTTTACAGAACAATTTAAAACTGTAAGCACCAGGATAATAAAAGCGAACATGTTTTGTCAGCAGGTTTCAGAATTTTAAGTTAATTTAGGCCTCAATAAACGAGGAGGGATCATAGCGCTCTATATCATCACCAATGTGTCTGTCTCCCTGGTAGCTCCCAGATCAGCTTCTCTGATTGGTTGATGCGGTGCGTCGAGTAGCAAAATTTCCATTTTTCCATCTCGAGCAGCGACGACTTTGTAGCGCGTCGCGCCCGTCAGATGCTTAAACGCTTCAGACGCGCTGCTTCAGCTAATCAGACACGCTGCGCCTGCTGCTCAAAACGCGCTGCAGGACCTTTTGCTGCGCCTTGACGCGCGTCAACCATTGACTTTGCATGTAAACTCGCTATTCCTGCTGCTCCTGCTGCGTCCGGTGTGAACGCAGCATTAAAGCTTTAAAACCAGCCAACTATCGAGATAGATATGACGTTAACTTTTTGTTTGTTTTCCTTTATCCATTCTGGTCCAATCTTGTTTTTTAAAACTTGTATTAAAAAACTTTTCTTTTAGCTGTTATATGAATTATATGAGTGTTTAGTTATGCAACATATGTTTATGCAAATGCCTTTTTTTTCATTTAATATGTGGTTATATGAATTGATTTTTAGGAATCAATATGAGATGCCATTGGGAATGAGAAAGTTGATTGTTTTTAACACTGTGCTGGTTAAAATATATTGTTTGAGAAACAAGCTGTGTTATTTTTATGAGAAGTAAATGTTAGGTTGTTCATTTATTGAACTGGAAGCTATTGGTGTCGCATCAATGTGCACGGAGGGACATGTTAGTCAGAAAGGTTCTGATCCTGTAGGTTATCGCTCAGTAAGATGGAGCTGATGGAATTAAATGATGAGCTGAAATCAACAAACAGCGTCCTGATTTAGGCTTGGAGGTTTTCGATTTGCCGACGTGAAATCGACTAATGAAGATCTGGACTCAAATCTGACTGATACTGTAGGGAGCAGATGCTGTAAAACCAAAAGGTCCCTGGAACGTGGTTCCTGCTGTGAGCACATCTCCATGCCTTGCTGCCTGTTTGATCGACGGGGGAATGTTTGTCTTTCAGGAGAACCTGCGTCTCCCGCAGCGCCGCGTTGTCTGCGAGAGCAACAACCGCTCTCTGACTCCTCAAAACGCCGGCCGCTTCTCCAACCACTGGTTCATACTGTTCAACGACGCCCTGGTGCACTCGCAGGTACACAGATGAAACACCTGTAGGCAGCCTGTGCTGCTGCAAAACTGAACACCTGGATTAATGAGGGGTTTTAAAAACAGGAAGCAGCTGAATATGATTTAGATTGATTTTGTTGCATCTGAGGGTTTATTTGTGGAACTCTGTTCTCCATCGTCTTTAGATCATCTTTACATGTCTTCATTGTGTCTTTCGCTCACTCAGGGAACTCTTCCCCCTCAGAGCTTCGTAAGTATGACCCAGGAACATCTTAGCGTGATGACCCATCCCCCTGTTTCTGCTGAACACGGTTTATCTGGCAACAGCAATAAATGTAAAAACAGGATTTCAAAAAGTTTGCATTGGTTATTCCACCTGCTCAGTTACCTTTGGTTGAAGGCGTCGGTTTTGTCTAATTTACTCACCTACATCTGTGAGATGATCTAAATAATCTGTAAAAATAATAGAAAAAAGATTAATTGGAGAAAAATCCCTGTTAGCATCATAGCTTTTCTTTACATTTCCCCTTTTAAATGTTTCTGCTTTAGTTTTCTAAGTGAAAATAAAAGCAGTTTGAGTTAAAAAATTCAATATTCTATATTTATGCTTATTTTTTTTTATTGTTTTGCTGGAGTAATGTTGAGGTCCTGTGTTTACATTTATTTCCTGCATGTTTTATTTGGAGGTTCCAAACATGCATTTGGGATTTGAGGTATTTCTGCAGCATCAGGTTTTCTTGTTGTTGTGACCTTTAACCTTCAGGGATCCTGGTGAAGGTTTGAAATCAAAAGCATCTAAACTAATGTCACCAACTCCAAACAACGGATTATTACGAGACCTTTGGCCTGTCTTCTTGTCCTCACTCACCTTTTTTCCTCATTTATTAACTGTTCAAATCTTCCCCTGTTTGGTTTGCTGTGGTGTGTTTGTAAGAACATGAGGGGGATTCTGCTATATTTATCAATGTTTTCATTGTTTTACCCTGATCTACGTCATCTTTCATTCAGCTAAAGCGACAACCCCTTCTTCTGTAACAGAAACTTCACAATGGAGCGAAATCCAAGCATTAAAATATCCGTATAATATATCTCTACAGCAGATATATTTAAAAAAAAACAACACACATTTAAAATCAGTATTTACTCAGAATTGTATCAAAGGAGGAGATTTAAACCAGGGTTACCAGCTGATATTCTGCAAGGACAAGTTAAACTCTGAAATTAGATTAAAATCCATCTCAGAGGAAATGTTTAACATTAGATGAAGCAGCAGCAAACCTGTTAATGATGCCTCATTCTGAGACGCTGTAGTTTTTTTTTGGTAAAGCTTCCGTATTTGTTCATTCTGAGACGTATCTTTCGGTCATTTGTCTGTTGTGATCTCAGACTGAGTAAAGTTTGGTCATTTGAGAATTTCACAGCTGTATCTGCTGCCGCTCTCTGTGTCTCTGCAGTTCTCCACGCATCACGTCTATCCTCTCACCTGTTTGTGGGTGAAACCCATCACTGAAGACCGCAGTGGAGTGTGAGTTTCTTTGAGAGATTTTGACGCAGAGCAGATTAAAAATAGATAAATAGATTAAAAACTTGTTTTTTATATAAGGGAGTTTTGGAGCCTTTAGTTTCATTGCAGTCATCAGGAAGTTAAAAAGAGCCTCTATGTTCAGACTTTACAAGCGGTCAACATGGTGCCCTCTACTGTTATGTCCTGCATCTTTATATTCCAGTCACTAATGAAACAAAAACGTTTTGAATCAGCAGGAAATATTTTCATTACTGTAAAAATTCAGACTTGGCAGAATTTATCTATTTTTCTCAAGGAAAGTTATTACAGGAAGTCTGATTACTTCCCTTAAGACAAATCCTTCCTGTAATTACATTATGATTACTATTTTATCATCACAATCTGGTGTCGTCTAATTGAAGATCCTCCATGTGCAAAATATAAAACATCTATAAAATTCCCACGTCTCATTGTGGCCAAACTATCAAAGTTATTCTATGTAAATGTTTTTCCCTCATAAAGGAAAATATGCCTAAAAAAACAGATCCTAAGATCAACAAGTGTCTCTCTGATGGAGATCGGCCTCATTATATATTAGTTATTATGAATGCATTTCAGGGGATATCCACTTATATTTAGCTGTATTTTATTGTAAATGTAAAGCTTCAGTGTTTGGTAGGACACCATACTTTTGTGATTTATCTTCCCCCTCCAGATAAAAGGAGACACAGTGAGAACTATTGACACCAAAGACCCTTAATTTTTATTAGTTATGTGAAAATAACAACATGTAGTCATTGTAAATGTGGACAATTTATTGCAAAGTATACACCTGTTTATACATATAGATTAGGGCTGAAAACATTAGATTAATTGTAATTAATTGATTATTGAGATAATCGTCAACTAATTTAGTCATCAATCGGTAAAATAATATACAGATTAAACGATTTGCAAAACAATCGTTAGTTTCAGCCCTAATATAGAGAACTACGGTGGCCGGGAGGTGCAAACCAACATTACAAAATCTAAAAAACTTTTACAAGTTCCAAAACAAATGATCATTTCAGGAAAAAAATTTACATTTTAAAAAAAAGTTTTAGTAAATAAACAAAACACTTTTAAAAATTCAAAACAAAAAGCATTTTAAGAAAAAAAATACAAAACATTCGAAATACTTTTAGTCCCAAAACAAATGATCATTTCAGGAATTCAACCGGAAAGGGTGGGTACTAACTCCGAGGCTGAACCGGTCTTGTGCGAAATTCTGTTTCTGTTCCCCCTGTGTCAGGAGAGCACATTGCAGCGATCATTTGTTCTGGAACTTGTAAAAGTGTTTTTTAAAATGTAAATTTGTTTTCTTAAATGATAATTTGTTTTGGAAATTGTTAAAGTTTTTTAGAATTTGTAATGTTGGTTTGCACCTCCAGGCCACCGTAGAGAACAGATGTAGAACTTTTTCACACAGCCTCTGTCTTTAAATTAAATAAACCAGATGATGTGTACAAAAAATGTACAAAAAAACTAATTGCATCCCTCTGAGTTTTTCACTAGAATATAATTTAGTACAGTATACTGAAAATATTAATAATTAATTTCCCTTTCTTCACAGAATTGTAATGTAGAATAAATAACCTTGGTTCAGTATTTTGTTGTTTTGCGTGTTTTAATTTGACCACATTAAATGTTTTGCAGGTACCACTATAAAAGATTAAAGTCAATTATTGTTATTTTATTGCTTTTTTCAGTTATGCTATTAGGATAATATGTCCAGAGGAGAGCTTCACGCTGGTTGCCTCAACTCCACAGGAAAAGGTACTTCTATGGTTTTTCCTTCCACTTTTATTTGACACCATATCTTTAATTTGACCCTTTTGTCTCTCTGTAGAACAAGTGGCTGCGGGCGTTGAACCAGGCGGTGGATCAGGTGCTGGGCGGCGCAGCTCAGGGGTCATCGCCAGGGGTAACGGTAGCAGTTTGCCGCACCGCCTCGTACAAGTTTATAGCAGATGAACGATTCAAAGAGGCCGAGTACAGTGGGAGCTGGATGGCAGGGCGGGTCCACGGCAGGTCAGATGATTTCTGCTCAGATGGCTTCATTGATTCATTTCATTCAACTTGATTTTAAACCACTTTACAAATGGAGAGGTTCATTAAAGTGGGGAAACACAAAAAAATAATGATTTTAAGGCTACGTTCACACCGCAGCCTGAAGTGACCCAAATACGTTCTTTTTTTTACCTACATGCGACCTGGATTTGATCTTTTCCAATGCGACCCAGGCCACTTGGCTCTGTGGTCCTGAATCCGATATGAATCTGATCTTTTCAAATGCGACCTTTGTCTGAACGGCCAGATTGCATTCATCCACCCTGAACACCATTAGTAACCAACATAGGTCACTATTCTGTTCTTGCTACACAGAAGTGCCAAGAAAAACAAACAACATGGCGGACGATGATGCGGAGAGCAGTATTTTTTTTAACCATCTTGAAAAGATTGAGGTTTTAAGGTTTGGCAAGATCGCTAGATGCGCTCTAGCACTACATCCATGTTTACTTCTGTAAACACGAAGCACGCCGTCTTGTGACGTCATTGCATCCTCTATTGTGCATGCGGGACACTGAAGCTGAATGAATGCAGTTTACACAGGAGATCACATACAAGTCGCTTATATTTCGAAATGCAAAAAACACAAAAAAATCGGAATTGAGCATCAAGGCCTGCAGTGTGAACGTAGCCTTTAATGCTTAAAGGTATAGTGGAGGATTTTTGTGATTTCTCTCCACTTTAAACAAAAAATGCACATGCACAAAGCTGTACCTGCTCCCTAGAGGGGACGCCTATTAAACACGTGCAAGTCGACATGTGAGGAAGGGGCATCAGTGGGTCCAAACGACAAGACTTCTGTATTTTTATAATAAAATGAAGAGCATTTAAAAACATCCAAGCTTTGATTTCCTCAATGCAATCCACAACAGTTATTTTTAGGTTTCAACAGCTCCTAAATTTGCCTAAATTTGATGATCAGCATAGAAATTAAAGTAACACTGTGCCTACAAAGGATGTATCCTCCTGGATCCAACCATTTAATGCCGCAGGCCTGAATTCCCATCCACCCCTTAAGTAGGGCTGAAACAATTAATACGATTAACCGATTATTATTAATAATTATATCTGGAGTATAGAGACTCTAAAATATATCTTAAGCTGAACGATTGACCCACTTAGAGCAGCGATTACATCAAAATTGTACAAAAAATATATTAACATTTTGAATTTAAGATAAAAAACTTTTTCATCTGTCAAAATGTTCTGTACAGAACCCCTCAGGTGACGTTTTAGTTTCATCTGGTTTAATTTAGTGAAAAATAATTTTTAAAGAACCTTTTGCTATCCAATTCTTAATCGAAAAAATTGACCTTTTGAATGATTTGCAAAATAATCGTTAGTTGCAGCCTTACTGTCAGGATGGGACTGAATAACCTGGTGGTTACAGCGTCAAAGGCTGCTTTCAAGTCCAGCAGAAGAAGTGTAACATCAGTTTGTGGACACTAATATATTCTTTAAAGGTTTTAACTGGTCATAAACCAGTTTGTCCAGCACCTTAAAAAGGAAGAAGTCTGAGGCTTGATTATTTTGATGAATCAAAGTCAGGTTTCTTGATTAGTGGTTTGACTAAAACATGTTTAGATTGTCAGAAACGTGAAGATTTATGCTCAAGTTTCTATTCACCAAGTTTCTGTTTGGTATAGTTCAATTATTTTTAAACTCCACATACTATTTAATAAATAAGTCACAATCTGTTGATTGTCTTTTTTTCAGAGGAACCATGAAGTGGCCGGATGGGCGGATGTACAAGGGAAACTTTAAGAATGGACTGGAGGATGGGTCTGTATGATTTTAGATCTATCCATGAGCTTTTTATTCATTTTTTAAGTTCCTGTCCAGCTCTATTTATATGTTGTTGTTTTTTTTTTCCAGTTATGGGGAATGTGTAATACCGAACAAAGTGCAGAATAAACACGATGCTTACCAAGGACAGTGGAGGGAGGGAAAGATCCATGGTTTTGGCAAGTACAGGTCAGCACACCAACCTTTACCTGGAAAAAAAGTTTCAATAATTGAATATATGAAAGATACCTGGAATCTGTCATCTTTACCAGTTGTTTAGTGATTAAATTGTAAACATTATTCCATAGATTCTTTAATGGACCTATCGTCAGTGTTGTTTCATATTAACCTAGAGCGCCCCCTTCTGTGTGTCATTGGATCGGACTCAGGTACGCCAGCGGAGAGGTATACGAGGGCTGTTTCTGCGATGGGCAGCGCCACGGTTACGGCATGCTGAGCTCCAGTAAATTGGCCCGGACTTCCTCTAGTGTTTTCATTGGCCACTGGGTTCAAGACAGGAAGACGGGGTACGGTGTCCACGACGATATCACGAGGTAAAAAAAGGCTCTGCTTCAAATTAACGCTCTGAAGGTGTGGTGAAATATGTTTGATAACATCGCAGCTACAGATGGACTCATAACAACCTGGCAGGTTAGATTGATGATGTGTAGCGTTCAGGTTTAGCTCTACACATTATCAACATGGAAGGGCTCCCAGAGAATCGGTTCAGGGACAAGAAGGAGAAGAGGAGAACCTTCCAGCTCATTTTCTATCCATTCTTAATGTTTTATGTTATTTTGTTTACAGTTTTTTTTTCTTTTGGTTGAGATTTGCTAATCCTTTATCGTTTCATTTTTTGAACATGTATATGAAGGACGAAAAATCTATATCGGCTTCAAGAATGAGATGAAAAAAAATGTGGATTTCAAGGCTCAATTAGAGAGATGAAAATCCAAGAAAATCAGCATCCATCTTAAAAGAGCTGCATATATAACAGTAAAACTCTAATAACAATGCATTAGGGTATTTAATGACTGGTTCCATGTTTTCTTCTTTTTGCTTGTTTACATGGTGACGTTGCATCTCTTTGAAAAGTTGCAAGGATCTGGATATCTCTGTTAATTCAATGAGTTATCGACCTTCCTCCATCATTATCATAACCTTATATTAGAACCCTAAACAATGGGTTATCATCTCTATTATAAACAAACTAGGGGTTATTACACTTTCATTCAGTCTTCAAATGTTAGATTCTTCTTTTCAAGGATTTCACATTATTGTTCGTTATAGTTTGTTTATAAGTTCTGGTTAATTTGAACAGATCTGCATCAGCAGACATTTTAAGGCTTCATAGGATCTCCTGTTTGTTTCTCAGAGGTGAGAAGTACATGGGCTTCTGGCTGGATGACCAGAGGCACGGCAGCGCCGTGGTCGTCACCCAGTACGGACTTTATTTTGAAGGGTCGTTCAAGGAAAACAGGATGAGCGTAAGTGTAGCAGTTAGTAAGTGTATGGCTTAAGTATGCACTTCGCTGTGGAAAACTTTACTTTTGTTGCTTTTGATTTTTTTTCTTGTATGTGTTAAACTCACAAGTAGCCTGAGATTTAAAATCTCACAAAAGGCTATATCCCTGCAAGACTTATTGAAACATTTACAAACATACCTGGTTAATGTTTTTAATTGTCGAACATCTAATCCATCCTATCTGTCAGGGTTCTGGCCTGTTGGTGTCAGACGATGACACCGTTTTTCATGGGGAGTTTAGTGACGACTGGACCATCAATGGGAAGGTAAGACACATCCGCTCTGTTCTCTTCAGATGCATAAACTATGTCTCTGCCTGAGAGGTCCTCCTTTATCTGTGTGCTGTTTTCCTTCGTTATAATGTTTGTTACTGAAATGGGTCAGGAGTATCCGGTAGTTAGCTGTAGCTCATCTGGCTCTGCAGGGAGTTATGACTCTTGCAAATGGGGACAATCTGGACGGCCTGTTCAGTGGCGAGTGGAGGACGGGTCTGAAGGTGGCAGGGACGTACGTCAAACCAACCTTAGAAGAATATGAAAGCAAGGAGAAAAACGTCCTGCCGTGAGTATTAAAACACTCATTTAAACCTGCCGTTTTTGAATGCTGGGGCTATAAACATAATAAGCTCCTTAAGCCGATGGTTCTGCAGGTTCAGGTTTCTTCTCCTCACTGCTGTGCGTCAGCCATGACAGGTTGCTGAGTCAGAGGGTCCTGAAGTCTGGAACTGTTTGCTTGTTTGACAGCTTGGGCCAGTATGTGGTGCCTGCAGCTCAAAGGTGGATCTGTGTGTTTGATGAATGCTGGAGTCGACTCGGCTGCAACGGCGCCGGCGAAGGAGAGAGGAGTAAGGCATGGGAGAACATCGCTGTTACCATAACAACGGCCCGGCGACAGAGGTAAGAGACACAAAGCGCCCCAGTTTGAGTCCCAGCGGTTAAATTTATACTAAACAGTTCCTTCAGGATCTGAAAGTGGTATTTCTCAGGTCTGGATAAGGAATCAGAAAGTTAACTGCATCTATGATGCAATCGCAGTTTAAAAAATGGGATTTCCAAATCACATTTAACCAAAGTAAGACCAGAACTTTCTCCCTCCAGTCCATTAGGGGGCAGTAACACGATTCAGGTAGGTATTTCGCTACATAAAAAAGGAAGTTTTAGCTAGCTAGTTATAGAAATCTTGTAGACCCGTGAACCAATTTGACACAATTGGCCAAAACTGGAAAGCATGCTAAATGCTTTTGATACAATTTTAAACGGCGGCATCTGCTGGATAGCTATCAGAACTACAATTGAGCGGGTATCCAAATGTCCGCATTATTTCACGGCTGAACTTGTTTGCTCCAAGATGATTAAAATATAAATAGCTAATTTTTTAAAAACAAATGTCTGACCTGTGAAATTGCAATATGATATTTGGCCCTTATGATGCATAACAGCCATGTGAATTATGATGCGTCCTGGTTTCTCAGCCATACATACATCTGTGTGGCTGACCGGGCAGCACACATGCCTTACCCCTGAGAGACTGTACTAAGGTTCTAAGATCAAAACTAACCTTATCTTTTATTTATTTTTCTTTAAATCTAACCTAATCTAAGACATAATCTAGAGTCTAAATGTATAGATGTGATGTGTGAATAAATATCTGTTATTAAATAATCAGTGGATAACTGTAGTGTCTATAGATGCGTGTCCGTGTGTGTCTGTCTATTTTAAATCTTTGTGCATGTATCAAACTATTCTGAATTGTAAACCAGACCTAACAATAACATTATTGTTATTGCGGCTTTTGAGACGCATTTCTGATGCATTTAGATACATCAGCAGTATTGAAACAATTATTTGAATGAACTGTGAAAAAATCTAGATAAGTAATTTTTTTCTTAAAATAAGTGTATTTGTTCTTGAATTGAGAAGGTAAAAGAAACATTTTGCCAATGGAACAAGTCGATTTACATTTAAAATAAAAAAACACAATTGCATTGTCTTATTTCAAGTGCATTCTATCTAAATATCTTATTTTTAAGTAAAATATGAACGAGTAAAATACTCATTCCATTGGCAAACTATCTCATTTACCTTCTCAAATTAAGGGTAAATACACTTAATTTAAGACACTTTTACATTAATTTCTAGATTGTTTTTCCAGTGTAACGAGGCCTCGCTCGCAGCGGTCATGTGATTGGGGTGCACTCGAAACACTTCTCAGCGACACTTCTGCTTCAAACAGGTTGAAGCTTGAGCAGACCGACTGGAGTCTGACATCACTTCAGCTAGCTTGTAGATTTATGCATGCAAGCTGAAATTAGCCCTTTTTCTGGATAATAAAGTATTTTAAGGCCATAAAAACAATGAAACCCTGAGGTCAAATGTGCATGCATGTGTTCACTGCAGAGAAAACTCTGAATATAATCACAATTTATTAGTATTATTTTTTTGTTTAACAAAGCTGCACACCCTGTTTCTGTTGTCAAAATCTTCCCTCCATCTGTACAATCCATCCTGGGCTAAAGCTGTCAGTAATATCAGTTAGCAATTTAGCTTTGATATGTCAGTGAATTTAAAAAGAGATGCTTTTAGTAAAAATTAACATTAAATTTAATTTAATTCAACTATTAATCATGTTTAATTGCAGAATCCGTTTTGGCCAAGACAACACTTTATAACCATTATATGTCTGTCTCATGACATTTGCATGTAGCATTACTTTAGTATGGAGCATCACTTATGGTACTTATTGGGATTTGCATGTTCTGGCAAAATTTTTTCCTGTAAAACTAAATTCAAATAAGGAAATTACTTAACTGACGTTTCTTCATTTGCACTCATAAAGATAAAACAAAGCCGATTTTCATTTTCTTTCCCCAGTACAGTATATATTAAAGGATAAACGAGTAAAACATACTAAAAAAAACGGCCCATTTTCTGGGATTTTTCCTATTCCTTTTGGCATTTTGTTCTTCAGAGTTGAAGGACTGAAACAGGTTAATGAATCCAAAAGTGCAAATAAAAAGACCTGATCTCATCCAGTTTTTTTTCCTACCATCACACACAAACACCCCACATTGCATATTCATTGCGGCAGACATTTCTGGATGAGATGCTCTTTCCAGCACCTTTGAAAGACTCAATCCTTTTTGTACACTGAAAATTGTACATTTACTTATGCAAGAGCTCTGCAGGCCCGTCACTTTTAGCTTTCCAAGCGATACATAAAGCTTGTTTAATTTTAAGTTTAGCTGTTGGAAGACATAGGCTACAGCACAGGTTTAGCATCTGCCGTTCTGTGCACAGATGGATTAAACAGGTCTACTGTGTTGCTTAACTGTATTCCTGTGTACAACAAGCAGAATGGAAAGATTCATTATTTATTAAGACTTAAATGTTTTGCTTGATTAGCACAATCTCCATAACATTATTTATTGCCATGTTTTATTTGTGAAAATAATTAATGGTCACAAAAAAAAGCAGTGATCTTAACAGTGATTGGTTGGTCAGACCCGACTAAGAACTCATTTTCTCTGCTGGTATTAACTGTCTGTTATTAGTTTATGCATAAGGATGTGTGTGTCTGTGTGTTTAGCCCAGACCTCAGTAAATCTCACACCAAAGTTCTGGAGAGTTTGGAGTTCATCCCTCATTACGGAGAACCAGTCACCACCACAAACTACGACAACATCAGACGATACCTCACTAAGGTAAAAGACTTTCAGGAAACACTCTCTCTGTCTTCTGGTGAAGATTCTCAGTCATCCAGGTCATAGTCATTCAATAAAAGAAATTCAAAACAATCTACTGGACTTTGTTTCCAAGTTTGGGGACGTTTCACGTCCCATATAGGAAGCTTTTTCAATTAAAAATGTCAGAAATGGCGTTGAGTTCGAGGTTTTATACAGTAGCCCAACAAAGCCTTTTTTTTTGTTTGGAAGACATGCAAACTGGAACGGACAAAGGGGTCCACCCCTTTGGAATGGGGGTCGTTTGGCTTCTTTTGTTAGCCTGCAATGCCCCATATGTTCTGATCTTTATATTGGGGAAACCAAACCTCTCCACAGACGCATGGCCCAACACAGAAGAGCGACCTCCTCTGGACAAGGTTCTGCGGTACATCTACACCTTATGGACAAAGGACATTCTTTTGAGGACCAGAATGTTCACTTTTAGGACTAGGAAAGAGTTAATCCCTTCCCGATATCATCGCAGCCCCAGCCCCGGAGGACCTCGCCTCTTCAGCCAGGCCAACAATCCCCTTTAACGATCCCCTATTCAGACACTTGGGCTACTTTCACACTGCAGCCTGAAGTGACAAAAATCCGATTTTTTGGCCCATATGCAACCTGGATCTGGTCTTTTCATGGCAGTCTGAACAACACAGATCCAATTTTTTTCCAATGCAACCCAGACCACTCGGCTATGTGGTCCTGAATCCGATACGAATCTGATCTTTTCAAATCCGACCTGTGTCTGAACGGCCAGGTCGGATTCATCCGACCTGAACGTCATTAATATCCGACAAAGGTCACTATTCTGCGTCTTGCTACGCAGAAGCGGCAAGAAAAACAACAACAATGGCAGATGATAATGCGGAGAGCAGCATTTATGTTTAACCATATTGAAAAGATTTTGTTTTTATGGTTGGAAAAGACTGTTAGATGCGCGCCGGCACTACCATCCATCTTTACTTCAGGAAAAAAAGAGCATGTTGGCCTGTGACGTCATTGGGTCCTCTACTGCGCATGCAGGACACTTGTGTTGTATGACTGCAGTTCACACAGGAGATCACATACAAGTCGCATATATTTGGAAATATGAACGGCAATGTAAAAAAATCGGATTTAGCAAAAAAATCGGAATTGAGCATCAAGGCCCGCAGTGTGAACGTAGCCTTTGATGGGTATGGGGCAGGCTATCGAAAGAAGCGAAACAACCCCCATTCCAAAGGGGTGGAGCCCTCCATCTGTTCAATTTGCATGTTTTCAAAACAAAAACAAGGCTTTGTTGGGCTACTGTATAAAACTTCGAATTCGACGCTATTCCTGAAATTTTGAATTGAAAAAGCTTCCTGGATGGGAAGCGAAAAAGTCCAGTGGATTGTTTTGAATTTCTTTTTTTGGAATGACTCTCTCTGCCATCTTGTGTGGTGATTGGGTCAACTGGACGTATTTAAAAGTATTTTGGTACGACCTGACAGGCCTGCGAGACCCCGCACCATCCTCTGGGCTGGCTGGTGGAGACGCTGGTGACGGCGTACAGGATGACGTATGTCGGGGTGGGTTCAAACCGCAGGCTGCTTCAACAAGCTGTCCAGGAGCTGCAGGCCTACCTGACTCACTTCTACACCATCATCAGGTACATTTGATTTTATTCACCTTACCGTCTTTTTTCTAGTCTAAGAAAATGGAATACGGTAGAATATACCTTTGAGAATCAACTTTACGAACCTCTTTTGTTCTTAATGTAAGTTCCTTACCTTATTTTTTTTTTTTTGAGAAAGAAAAAAATCATCATTGTAATAGGCAAAGGTTGCTAAGCTACTATTCTTAAAACTCAGTTAACACATTTCTAGTTGTTGAAGCTATGATTGTCATGATGCATAATGCAAAATTTTTTAAACTTGATACCATATACTAGGGAAAATACTAAATAATATTTTCGATACCCTTGCAAAAAGTTTTAAGGCAAATTTATTTCTGTTTGAGTGCAAAACAAAATGTTTATAATATGATAAACTTTAAAGTCAATGTTTATTTTGAACTTAATACATTTTAATTTGATTAATAAGGGCTAAATAAATAAGGACAAGTGGGGGATAGAAACTAACAGAAAAGAAATTTAAAGCAAAAAAATCACAACAATATTATTTGTAGTTATTTAAAAATTCTTAAAATTATTTATTTAAAATAAAAAGAGAAAAAAATGAAGTAAAAAGTAAGTAAATACATGGCATATAGAAAAATAAAGTAAATGTATGATTTTGTCTTTTTTGCTTTTATATATTCTGTCAGTTACAGTCTTCCATATTGTTTAGTTATTCTTTATAAAAATGGACCACTTCCTTGTTATCATGACTGTATTGTTATTTATAACTTTTAAATTAGTAATATTATGAGTTTATTCTCATAATTTTATGCCTTTACTTTCATAGTATAATCAAATGTATCTCCCAGTATGTCCCTAATAAGTTGTATTATACTCTTCATATTACATACGATAATTGTTAGTGATAAATAAGAATCGTGCACCGCTGTATGCTCTCCTGTACGCTGTGCAGAATTACAAAGCAGGGGAACCACAAGGTGTCATATTATTATTTCCCTGTAGTTGGAAATGAAGTGCTGCACTGAAGAGAGGATTAAAGCTCATCTTCCTTGTTTTTAGAATAGCTTTAGAAATTAGCCGATTTTGAATTAGTAAAACCTTAAAATTCAGAATGAAATATAATAATCGACCCATTAGGGTGAAACTGGAAGTAAAATGGTCGCTGTTTATCTCTGTATGTTTGCAGGTTTTTGTTTCCAGGGTTACCAGGTGATGGTGGCATCATCCCAGACCCTCCTCACCCCGACCCTTTCAAAGGCCGACGCAACTCTGATAAAGTGGAGCAGGGGTCAGCATTAACACAGCCGCAGCATCGAGAAACAAGATCGGCGTGGATGTTAGGAGATGATTTTAAATCTTTTCCTCTCTGTTGTTTTCTCTTCTCTCAGTGTTTTAGTGGTCAGCTGCTCGTCTCTGCTCCTCCCTCTGCTGCTCCCCCGACTCTATCCTCCTCTCTTCACCCTTTACTGTCTGCAGCAGGAGCAGGAGGAGGCCCAGTACTGGGAGCGCATCCTCCGACTCAACAAGCAGCCAGACCAGTCGCTCCTCGGCTTCCTGGGAGTGCAGGAGTCAGTGTGAAAACACACAAACACACCATCCAGACATTAAATTTCCTCTCATCTTAATTTAGCTTTTCTATAGCCTGATAAACCAGACTAAATGTGAGATTAAATGTGTAATTTAGTCTGGCCTCGATGAATGAGACGTTGGATGATTGTTGATGAGAACAAACCGTTGTCTTTCAAACCATGTCTGTGCCTATTGGCCAATGCTTTGACCAATGAGCGCAACTCACTGTGACGTAGTAAGCGCCACAGAAAGATGGTGGGAGTGTAAACAAACAGCCTGTCGATAAAACAGGGAATACGTCCTTCTTAACCCTTTATAGAGCATTCAATGAAAGACTTTAAACATCTACATTTCAAGCAAAGAGTACACTGCAAAAAAATTAAATCTAAGTAAGTCAGTGTTTCTTAAAATAAGTGCATTTATACGTGCATTTTTTTCTTAAACTTAGCAGGTAAGTGAGATACTTTGCAAATGAAATAAGGAAATTTACATTAAAATAAGGGAAAAAAATGCAGTCTCCTATTTCAAGTGCATAATATCAAATAATCTGATTTTAAGGCATAAAAATGCTCCTTCAACTGGGAGATTTTCTTATTTACCTACTCAAATTAAGGGTAAATACACTTCTTTTAAGACTTTTTCACAAATTTATAGATTATTTATGTAGTGTGTTATTGGATTGCTGGACAAGACCTTATTACCTTTGTAACTTTCAAAAATTATGTGTATTTTGATGGCATAAATGAATGTCAATGTAATAACAAGAAACGACAACTTGCCCGTATTAAGAAAAATAACAAATGTGCTTATACAAAAAATTCATGAAAAACAGAGTAAAAGAAATGGCACTCCATTTGTAAGGGGTATGCAAGTGATCAAAAATGTTAAATTGCCCTATAAAGGGTTAAAAAAGTTTCAACAATACACCCCAGTCTAATCCTTCCAAAGCTGATTCTAAAGCTGAGTCAAACGAGAACTGTTCAATATTTGCTGCCATCTTCCTTGTTGCGCTTTCTCCAGCATTGCGCAGCTTTGTCGTCCCGCCCTCAAAACCCCGCCTGCTTTGCATCCAGAAATTCAAAACACATCTCTGCGTTGTGATTGGCTCGCCAGTTTTAGGGCCTGGGGCATTGATCGAGGCTAGACCACTCGCGGGCAAAAATGATTTTGGCGGGTGGGGCTAGTTTACTAGGCTAGCTTTTCTATACTTTAGAAAATAATTAGTTTATTCTGAGCTGCTTTTTCTAGTATTTTTTTGTGTCGTCTTTTTGTTGCAGGAAGTTTTGGCCTCACTGGATGTCCATCCTGGGAGAGAAAAAGCAGGTTAGAGTATTTCATTTTTTAGCCTTAAAGAAAAAAAAATTCAGTGTGTGATATTAAAGTACTGTTTAACTGAAAGAAAAAAAACAATAGATTACTATAGTTTTTAGAGGGGAGGAAAGTACATTTAGCATATTGGTAACCCCTTTATTTTTGAGAAAATGTATAAGATTTAGAAGCAAAAAATGAAATCCATTGTGTGATTTTAATCTGGGGATAAATGTAGCTGTTCTGTGAAGGAACTTTAGAAAACAAACAGCTTAATAAAGACCAAGAAGCACAGCAGACAATTCAGAGATGAAGTGCAGAGCTGTTTAAGGACGGTTTGGGTTAAAAGCATCTAATTTACCAACAGATGGCTCTCAACTGACAGGTCAGGGAAGGAGAACCTCAGCAATTTGTTACCCTGGAGGAGCTGCAGAGATTCACTGCTCAGGGGGAGATTCAGTCAGCATAGAAGAGCAGCAAAACAATCCAATGGTTGGATTAAAGCCAGAAGAAGAACTATTTATAGTTTCCAGAAGCTTTTTAGGAGACATGTAACATGCTGTGGTTTGAGACCAGCATTAGACAAAATGGAATATGTAAGTTTAGCAGAAAATGAGGTCAGAATCCCCACAGTGATGCACGGTAGGGGCAGCAGCATACAAGGTGCTGCATGCAGAGTCACCATAAACTGTATTTATTTGTTTTTTTTTTCTTCACAGATAGTTTCCAGCAGTAAAGATGCCTGTTTTGTTTCTGCTGTTGAGACTCTCCAACAAATCAGGTACAGATCCAACAAATCAGGAAGCAATTGGTCGGAGAAAAGCTGATCTAAAGATGTTGAGTCTATAGTGAGCTGTCTCTAACTGCTTAAAGTCACACTGCTGGTCCTTTCCTTTGCACGTAGCACCACGTTTACCCCATCAGATAAACTGATGGTGATTCAGAGGACGTTTGAGGAGCTCACCCTGGAAGTGAAACCTCTGCTGGCCGGAGACTTCCTGTGGTGCATGGACGACCTGTTCCCTCTCTTCCTTTACGTGGTGCTCAGAGCGAGGTGCATCATCACCCACACAGTCTCTGATCTATAAGCACTCTGATGGATTATTTCTGTCAGCTTGTTCTCACTTTGCTGCTCGCTTCTCTCCAGGATCAGGAACCTTGGAGCTGAAGTCAGCCTGATTGAAGACCTGATGGATCCCAACCTTCAGCACGGAGAGACGGGCCTCATGTTCACAACCCTGAAGGTGAGATCACTGAAGCCCAGTGTTCGGCTAGTTACTTCCAAAATGCAATTTATATGTATTCCATATTAGTAAGTAATACGTTACAATATTATCATTTGCGTAAAGTAATAAGTTACTGATTATGTTTCAGTGACTTTCACCAAAATAAACATAGCTATAGCATGCTATTTTAGCTGTAGACTGTTCCTTCGGCTGTCCGCCTGCACATACGGTGAGATTCTTATCTATTGCGGTGATATATTCAACATGGAGACAGTGGTACCACTTGGAAAATGTTAAACTGATCTTTGTAGCCATTTTTGCCATCTTCTTCTACTGATGTTTCAAATTGCCTCCTCTGATATATACAAGTCCTCTTAAAAGAGTAAAGATAAGGTAAGATTGACTTTATTGAGCCGCTGTGAAAAGTAACTTTCTCCACTGCGAGATCAAGAGTTATAAGAAGTTGCCAAAAGGAGGAAAAGGTGCATATGTACATATTTAACAGGATTTTTGCACAGGTTATTGCACAGGGTTTTAAAAAGTAATTGCACATTAGTCATTGCACAAGTTATTGCAGTTATAGTGCTGCATCGTAAAGTCTGATGGCAGCAGGGATGATTGACCTGCAGTAGTGCTCCTTTTTACAAACGGGGTGTAAAAAGGAGTACTACGAGGGTGAGAGGTGTTGTCCATGACGGATGTAATCTTGGACAGCATCCTCCTCTCAGCTACTTCCTCCATCGAGTCCAGAGCGCAGCCTAGGACAGAAGTAGCTTTTCTCACCAGCTAAAAACAGGCTTCCATTTTTGAAGTTGTTGGCTGTTTGGTTTTTGTGTTTTTAAACCGACAGCTCGGATTGTAACGCGTTATCTGCCTTATAATTGTAATAATGTTATCAAATTTAGTTTGTCACCCATTATATTACTCAATTACTCCCTGTGCATAATCTGTTATGGTTACCTGTTACTTTTGTAATGCCTTAACCCAACACTGCATGAACACACATAAGTTAAACTGTTAATTTGTCTAATATCCTCCCCTCATTACCCACTTTTAAGGTAATAGCTGCTCTCACAGTTCTTAAGTGTGGTATCAGTGTCGAGGGGGGTGCGGTTAAGATCTCTGCAGAGAGGGCGGTGACTTTAAAGGGGGATTGATGAACAGGGTAAAGATGATGAGGCTGAGGATGCACCCTGCAGGACGGCCATGATGATAATAGTGATGATTCAAGTCCTGCGACTGACCATGACGACTTTTTACCTGCCTGTGTTTCTAGTGTAGTTGTCACCTTTAGCATTTTATCATTTTATCTACTGATATTCTGCTGTGGTTATAAAACAACTACTTTATCTGAACACTTTCTGAATTTAGGTTCACTGCCAAAAATATCTAAAAATAAGTAAACATTTCTTGAAATAAGTGTATTTACCCTTAATTTGAGTAGATGAATAAGATGTTCTGCTCATGGAGTATTTTACTCTTAAAATAGGATAATTTGCTATTATGCACTTGGAATAAGACAATGCTGAATTTTATTACTTATTTTAAATGTCAAATATCTGATTCCACTGGCAAAGTGTCTGAGTTACCTGCAGTGAGCTGCCATCAACCATAGAGGCTGCTGTATGGTAGGGTGACCAGACGTCCTCTTTTCCCCAGACATGTCCTACTTTTCATAAGTAAAAAAATATCTGGGGGGAATTTCAAAATTGTACGAGATTTCGGTCGACTACATTGCAGCCGAACCGAGCCGTCAGCACCGCGGTGAAGTTGGATATTGGATATTCAAGCTCCGTGGAGATCTAGCAAACGGTTTATCCGACAGAGGGACTCTGCCAGCGTCTCTCAGCTGCTCCCTCGTAACACATGCGGTGGTGCATTTAGGGACCGTCAACAAATCTTTGAACTTCTTGATAAACAAAAATCTATAAATTCCTCATATTATGATCAGCTAAGACCAAACTAAAATAAAATCATGCCAATAGATAACATATGTAAGGCACATTTGCTTTTTTGCAATTTTAAGCAGTTTTTAATTTTCAAGAGATTTTTAAAGACTAAAGTTGGGACTTTTCTTCAATAGCTTCCAGGTCATGCGACCCTTTCTTTGTCACATTAGCCTAATGAGGTAAACTCATTTCTATTCCATTTTAAGCCTTTATATAGCTTTAAACATTTTTTATTACAAAAATAATTGATATTTCTTTAATAGCTTCCAGGTCATGTGACTCACCGACTCAAAATCCGGTCCAGTCAGCGGCTCAGCTGCCCCCCCATGTAAAATAAATAAAGTGTCCTCCTTTTCAGAAACCCCAATCTGGTCATCCTACTATATGTTCTCATGCTGCTTGAAAATGCTTTTGTTTGTTTGTTTGAAGTAACAATAAGGAAAAAGTCAAAGAATCTGATGATTTCTGTTTAAATCTGATCATCTTCTGCAGGCCTGCTTCATTCAGATCCAACAGGAGTCCACTTTATAAGCAGCCGTTACAGGAAGGGTTTCATTCATCCTGGCCGACCCTGAAGCTCGGAGCAGCACGCCCCCCTCTGCTGTTTGACTCCATCGTTCTGGTAAAGTTTGGGTCATAAAACTGGATGATTGTTGAAGTTTCACATGAATCCAACATGTGGAGACGTCTGCTTGTCGTCTTAAATCTGCTTCCCTATCAAAATCTGGAAGAGTTGATTCAAAGGGAGACAAGGCACTAATTAAATTGACAATATTAATATAAATATCTTTTTAGCACTGAAATTCTCCTTAAAGGAACCTCCAGCATATAATAGACCACTTTACTGATGTACACCAAACCCTAATGGATTATTGTTATAACAGCAGTTACACAAACTGGAAAGGATTTATATTTTACTGTATTTTTCTTTTAAGGGAGCAAATGTTTTTAAATAATATCAATGCATTTTGGATGCAGCTCTTTATTTTACTAAAGTTCTGTTTGTGCTTTAATGAGCATCTAAAACAACCAGCAACAAAGCTGTCTGTAAATCTCAAAGTTTTAGCCTCAGATTGTGTGCCAGCACTGAAATATAAACATTTTATACGTGTAAATAACTGTGTCTGTTACAGATCATGGATCTGTTGGGAACTAACTCCTGTACATAAAAGGGAATGTTTTATCTGCTGCCTACAGCAGAGAGCGGCAGGTTTTAACAGGGTTTAAATTTACCTCCTACTCTGCAGCGCTTAAATGACGTTTTAGTTGTTTGGAATCGTTGAGATTTTATGCTCAGATGTTGGTATTGAGTCATTGTGGATGAGATTATCACATTATTTTAGGCATTAAAAGAGAATTTGTCGTGCAAATTTGAAGTTATTGAACAGTAATTCTAATCTGATTTGAGATTAAAAGATTCAGGATTGAGTGTATTTATGTATCCTGAACAGAAAGGAAGATCAACCTGTTTAAATCCTGAGTGAAACAGGTTCACATGAACCAGCTTAAAGCCTTCTGAACAAACTTCTTTACTGGATCTAAAGCCTTTCCATTAAAGCGTTTCCATTGAGACACCAAACCTCCTCAATATTCAGCACTTTGTAAATAGAAATGATAAAAACTGATTCCATTAATTAAATTATGCAATTAATTTCTATTAATATATAATATTTAATTAAAATAACACGTAAACAAATCAGCCTCCCACTACTTCTGGTCATCTTCACCTGTAGTAACGCCCAGGTATTGATTTTATGTTTTTTACAAAATGCACTAATTTTGAATTCCACCTCATCTTTGATTTAAAAAAAGAATTTTTTTATTTGAAATTTGCGAGTAAGCACTTATTTCGTTAATTACAACTTAACGGTGAGTTAAGCACTGCAGTCCGTCATGTTTTAGCCATTGCCACGCTGATTAAATGTCTGCAGACCTCCTCTGGACCCATTCAGTTAAAACAGCAGTGAGGCAGAAGGAAAACATGCTGGAAAGAGGTTGAACTGTTGTGTTTTTTTTTTGTTTTTTTTTTTTTAGGTTAATACTGAGTAAATATGTGAACAAGGTAGAAAGCAAACTCAAACAAGTATTTAAAAACCAAACTTTTTAGTTTGGAAGTTATTAGTTTGATCAGCTCGTTTATTTTCCGCCTCCTTTTAAGGGGTCTGAGTGTAACCGGTGACAATATTACCTCCAGTTTTACACATAAATGTTTTATTCAGAATAAAGCCATCATTTTCTGATGGTTAGAGCCAAAATCCAAAACCAGCCCAATTTTAGTCCTATGGCACTGTAAAAAAAATGCAAATAGGTGCTGGAAACAACAGAATTAAAAACTACAAATGTACTAAAAATTGATAAAAAACGATGTAAAAGAAAAACAAATAAATATATTATAGAAAATAAAAGGGAGAAAAAAACAAATGAAATCTTATAGCAAGCCTCGTTACGTTTATTTATAAAATGTAATTTATCAACGATGTTTTAAAGATTTTTTTTTTTATATTGATTTGTTGAATTATGGTTTGATTCCAGGAAAAGTTCAGAAAATATGCATTTATATCATCAAACTTGAAGCAAGTTTGTTGTGAAGATGGACCGATACTTTAGCTGATGGATGTCTTTGGCTGATATTAGCTTTTTATTTATCTTCAATCGGCGTTGACCATTGCATGCATGTGATTACGAAAAGTGCATGCATTGCCGCTTCCTCCATTTGTAACCCATGTTACTGTTTCCTTTGATTTGTTCCTAAGTGTTTAAATTGAGAGTTGTGTCAGTAGCTAATGCTTCCATGGACGTAAACAGTCGGAAAAAACAGCCGATCAGACTAGAAATGTAAACATATTAAGTGGAATATTCTGACTGGATTTGACAGGATTAGAATCAAACTGTAATCCATCAGAGATTCCTGGATTGACATTCGATCAGCAGGCATGTAAATGCAAAACAAGTTATTCTGAATGAGGAAGTGAGCTGAATGCGATGCTAACCTGACATCAGCGTCACAGTTCCCACTTTAAGCGGGTTCGAGGCAACCAGAATATTCCCACTGCTCAGGTGTCACATTCTGAATATTTAAATCCATATAGTCTGTGCAGTCCCATCATTTTTTCCTAATCCAAATACATTTCAGTTTAATCGTTAATTTTGGTGCCTGTAGATTCATCTACTGTGTCTTTGATGTCATGCAAATGGAGGAAGAGAAATAACATTAGCCAAAAGGTCCTTGTTTATTCAGGCAGTTTGTTTTTTTGAAACAAAAAATAAAAATTTTAATAAAAAACTGTCATTAACCAATTTCTTGTTTTTTTGCACTAAACAAAAATGGAAAAAAACAGATAATGGTAGTCATATTATACACGGATACACATACTGTATATCCGTGGCGGCTGCTGCTCTCTGAAACAGGGGAGGATCAATGGTAATTAGCACCTAAACAATTAATAGTAATTAATCGATTATTTTGATAATTATCAACTAATTTATGAATCGATTAATCGTTTTAGAGACTGAAAACATGCCTTTATACCAAAATTGTAAAAAAGAAATAAACATTTTGCATTTAAGATAAAAAAAAAAAAAAAATCTTGTTCTTCTGTCAATTTGCTCTATGCAGCCTCCTCAAGCAGAAAAGTCTTCGCTTCACCTGGTTTCATTTCTTAAAAAGTCTTCTTCAGCTCTCCGAGTATTAAATGATAAATAAATTATTAAATAATTAACGGATTGATTGATTTGCAAAATAATCAGTTGCAGCCTTAATGTTAATTAAATCCAAACATCACATTTTGCCTTAATAATGTTAAAAAAACATAAAACCCATTTTACTACAAAGGGTGTAAATAGCTGTTTTGAGGCGTTCTGAAACCAGAGCAAGAAGTCGGCACAGGACGACCGTTCTGAATAAATGATTACGTGTCCCTCTATGCTTATGAGGAAAAGCTCCTCGATGTTTGGTCACTGTCAGTCAAAAACCAAGGTTTGAACTCCCCTTCTACATCGATC